TCTGATAAAATCCTTACTCTATCTAACCACTTAGAATAAAATTTTACATGTTAAAATAAAATATATCAACTTACATATATAGTGAACTAGCAGAATACTTTTGATTTAGAAAAAAAATCTTTGCAAAGTGGGTGATTTTAAAAATAAATGAGTATAAGATCTTGAACTTATAGGAAAAAACTTATCTACCATTTACGACATTGTAACTATGTGAACAAAACCTAAAATAAGGCTTAAGCATTTCGTCTAAAATATTGTACACCTAGATTCTTAGAAAAGAAATATATCAAGTCAAAATTGAACATAACAACTTAGACCATAGGCACAAACTATCACAAATTAAGCTTAAAAATAGGTTGGTGTAGTTTTTTGACTCTAAGAGTGATTTTTGAGGTGTGTAGTTTAAAATTAAATATATCTAATACTTTATATTTATAGTAAAAAATCCTCATAATGGGTAGGTTTGAAAATAAATAAGGATAAGATTTATAGCTAAATAATCAATCTATGGTTACAACTTATGATATAATAAATTTATGAAATATAAATTAAGTTTAAAAGTAATTCATTAGAGTATTTTAGGTCAAAAACTAATAATTATGAAGTGAGTGAATTTAAAAATAAATTATGGAGTTTATAGCAAAAAACTCTTTATATAGTCCTTCATTATATTATTATATTATATTATTGGAGTTGATGGAGTATTTTAGGTTTATAAATAAATTTTCAAGTGGATGGACTTAGAAGTAAATTGGATCAGCTTATTGGATTTATAGATGATAAATTATTTATTTATTATTACTTTTAACTATATTAAATTGATGTTACGGAGCTGAGAAAAGTTTCAAACCCATAGAGCATTATGTACTAGAGATGGATTTTTGAAGTGGTGGACTTATAAACAAATTTGGTTGAACATTGGGTTTGTAAACAAAAATTACATATTGTCTCTTTAATAATAACCTATCGGGCATACTGTAGAATGAATAGTGCTAAGCTAAAGTACTAACTCGAATAGCTTTAATATATATAGATGAAAGTGTGGAGCCACATGTAGTCCAGGCCAGGCAAGTGCCCACCCTGAATCTAGGCAAACTTATATCCATATTAGGCTAAGGTACATATTCATCAATATATATTTACACATTAGTCACTACACAATCCTTATTTTTGTCGTGTACCACATCCAAAAGGTACATGTTCAAATTTTAGTAAAGCTAACTTCACAGTGTCCCCATTAAGTAAATCATACATTCACTTTATAGTTTGGTTCGTTTTCCATGTATTAGGAAATACAATTCTATGTAAATAAATTCAAGTTTTTGGTTTTCCAAACTTTTCCAAGAAATAGATTGTTTGGGTTTGTTTCACACATAAAACATGATGGAAAACTAACGTATACACTTTTCTTGTGTTTGGTTGACATCAAAAAAGGGAGAAAACTTTTAGTGTTTAGACATTTTCCATTTTTCTTATGTTTGGTTGGTATTAAAGTGTGTAAGTTTACGACTTAGTAAAGATAAATTTGTTTGTGATCGTTAATGGAGGTAATCTTACCAAAAATAAAAGTGCAATATAACATGAAAAACCAACAAATAGCTGAATTCATCATAAATATTTGATTGACATAAAAAATCAGACGAAACATGTAATAACATGATTATTTCAACTGTTATGAACTATGTACCTGATTTGACATGAAAAATACCTGTTTGACAGGAATAAATCACATGAAACCTGTAATAACATGATTATTCATAAATTTATGAAATTCACACATGAATTAGAGAAAAATTCTTATGAGACCTGTAAAAACCTATAATCAACCTGATTAGTCATAAATATTTATGTGACATGAAAAATCGTATCAAACCTGAAAATACCATACATGGAGATAATTAGGGACTGTACTACAAGAACCAAAACCAGTTAGCTTTCAAAACCATGAGCGCTACAAAACCATGGGCAAAACAAGCAGAAATTTTATTGATCCAAATTAATATCATCATATTCAACATCCAACGACCAAGTAAATGTACCACTCCATATACATCTATAAAAAGCAATGTTTGCTTACATAATATTAACCAGGAAAAAATATGAGTAAGAAAAATATATATATTGGTAAATCTTCATCTGCGTCATCATCAAAGGTAAGAATATTTAAAAATTTTATGATTAAAATAGAGTTGTTTATTTTACAATGTCAATTTACTATGTTTTTTTATCAGCGTGGAAGGATTAGTAAACCAAAACGAACCTTTGAAGAATACTGATACAGATCGAGAGCAAGATGAGATGTGGGCAGAAATTATGCTAAGAACTAATGATGTAAAAGTTATAGACGGAAACGAAAATTGGAAGTGTCCTTATTGCAAAGATATACCCAAGATGTACTGGAACAAAAAGCAACTCCTAACACATGCGCATGATGTAGGTTACAATAAAATTGTTGGCAATCTGAGTAAGGATCGTATTGGAGAGCATCATGAACTAGAAATCTATTTACAATCGCTAAAATGAAAGCAATGACGTGTACTACTTTGCTATTATCATGTACTACTATGCTATTTTATGCATATTTTAATTTGAATGAACTTCATGAGTAAAAAAATCATGTGAAAATATTTGTTGATATCACGTAAAATATATCAGCCACATGTTTATGAATTCTATGGTTGAGGGCTCAAAACTTAGTCAATATCATCGTTGTTAGTCATCCAAGGCAATATTAATAAACATTGCAGGTTGCTAATCTCAGAATATTTGACAATCATCATAGCCTAAAAGTAAAAAATTCACCAACTAAAACTCATGACATAACAATATTTTCATTAGTAACCAACATCAATAGCCATCCAATACAATGTAGATACATTGTAGCTTGCTTACATACAATTTTTTTTAGTTGTCATGTATATGGTGACTTATAAAGTTCCTGCAAACACAAGTTCAATATAAAATTAGTATTCTACAATCATCACATAATGTTGATAAATATGCACATGAAACCATAAATTTATAGTTGACACAACTAAAATCAAAGTCATACAAATAATTACTACATATTGTAATTGTTATGGTGTTTTTAGTCGCCAAAATACGGTCTTTTGCCAGCAACAGACATGTGTCCCCCTGCTTGCACCGTTCAAGTCAGATTAATAGTCAAAGCAACTAAGGATCCCGACATAGCCGACCCATCAAGTCGACATCTCCTTATGTTGACATGAATGGCGATACTTGTCGATCCTCTTGTCGAAGACGACTCGCAGCGAGCCCACTCGACCAGTTACTCGACATCTCGCGAGGTCGACTCCAAAGGCGTTACTTATCGGTGAAGCTAAAGGATGACTTTAGCCTCGAGCCTCTTCCGCTGACAACACGTTGACATCATATTTAATGCTTGGCAGGTGCATCATGCTTCTAGCCCCGATAGTCTTCATGACTCATCGGACCACGTCAACATCATCATGCCTCCGATCACTTCTCATGTAATACTGAGGTAATCTCTCCTCCACTCGCCGATCGGCACGTGTAAAGTAGGTGTTGACGCCGCCGCCAGCCCATACCTACTCACTGCCATTCTGTGCTTAGCTAAAGTGTTCATTCTACCCTTCCATTACCATTATAAATAGAGGTACAGTTTTCAACAGAAGGAAACTTTTGACTTTTAGAATAACTACTAATAATATTGTACTATATAAGAACTCTCATAGTTCTTCATTTTACCCACTCAAGTTCACCAACTGACTTGATCGTCAGAGGTACAATAAGGGAACCAAGCCCCGTACGCTCATGAATTTCTATTTGTGTAGGCTAAAAGCCACTAAACTCAAAACCAGATATTCGAAGAAGTGAGCGGCCCCTCATCAACCCCACCCTGAAATATTTGACTGTTTGGTTACTCATCATCAACAACAATAATATGTTCCATCACCATAATGCTCCACATGCATATAAAATAACATCAACATATAGTACAAAATCAAATGAAACTTCCCTAAATTAAGCAAGACTTGTCTTGCACCAAAAGTAAGTGGATTTAACAAGTATGTTAGAAGTGAGAATCACAAAGTACCACATGAGCCCATATTCATATTGTTCTTCAACTCTCATTATTGAGGAAGGCATTAATCATCTCTTTTTGACTAACCGAAGATATGCCCATAAAAATTCTTGATTCATTCTCGCTCAAAAAGAGATGACGATAATATGCATCTAGCTTATCAATGCTTAAGTGTTGTGAATGAGTATATATGACCATGGATAACTTCTAGGTCCAATGCATATTAGCACACTTCATATTTGCACTAAATACATCTATCTTATCCACCAAGTTTTGCATGAGCTCGTTATCTAATGATTATCACTCTCACTTAATGACGTGTTATTAGCCATTACTAATTCAATAGAGAGTTAAATACAATAAGGATTGTATTGAACGAGCAAATCATGAATGCAAGAATGACTTTTCCTAACATAATAAATAGAAAAAGCAAAACATAGAGTTAAAGAGTGCATACATGATTATAAATAGTACAATAAATATAAAAATTAAGTCTTAGTGGTTTACACCATGGTTATACTTATCACAGTAATCAACCCACATCGCCCAAGCAATGTCATCCCTAAGAGTCTTCCACTCATTTCTTCATTGATTTGCTCTCTTTGGGTTTGAGTTTCAATAAAATTAACTAAATTGTTGACATTCTCATTTGTCATCTAACCATCAATATTTTCATTAAAATCGGACTCATTGAATAGTTTATCATTTGGATCAACAGTTGCAATAAAATTATGAAGTACCATGCATGCCAAAACGATATCTACTTGTGTAGGAAAAGGAGAATGCGGCTTAGCACACAAAATTTTGAAACGATTCTTCAATGTGCCAAATGCAGATTCAATCTTAGACCTCAAAGAAGAATGTCTTATATTGAATAATTTTTTTTATTCTTAGGTGTTTTACCTGAATATTCTTTCAAATGATAATGAACGCCTCAGTATGGAGAGATGAAACCTGGCATGATAGGGTACCCAGCATCACACAAATAGTATTTGCCTACAATTTTTTAAGAAAAATGTTAAGAAAGTCAAGTTTGTATATTAAAATCAAAAGTTTTAAGTTAAATTTTTAAATAATTACCATCATAGACTCCCAATCCATGAGGTTGTGGTCTAGATAATGCATCCTAGAGAATCTTATAAACATTTGCAAACCCCTCTAAACCTGCTAAAACATAAGTGAACATCTTGTTTGGGGTGCAAGCTGCAAGCACATTCTGTGTAACACTTTTGCAGCTTCTAAATCGTGTAACAAGATTAATCGGTAGCATTGCATCAACATGAGTCCCATCATACCAATGCAATCCTATAATACGTGCATCACATTACTAAGTTAACATTCATTTTCTTTGAATTTACATACTCTCGTGCTTAAAGTGTAGATATACCTTAAAATACGGGTATCATAGCAGGTTGTTACTGATCTCTTGGGGAACGTCATTGGGAGATTGTCTCATGTAGCGTCACGCAAGAAAATAATTGTTTGTAATACCTTGTTGAAATATCTACTGACTGTCTCGCCTAATCTTATAAAATGAGACCCCACAATGCAATTTTTAGATTCATGACCAATAATGTTTAGTGACATGATAAGTTGTTCTACTATTATATTACTTGAGTCTTTTAGTAGCCTATTGTTCCTCATTATACTTGCTAATTTAACAAAAGCACCACTCCGCATTCTAATGTAGTTTACACAAATATCACTACAACCATTATAGATACACTCCATATGTTTAATTCTCGCCTTTTCTTGTCTTATTTTTTCCTCACTTGGACCATTACGAATTGATTTACGTCTAGTTTGCATTCTCCTTATGAACGTAAATATTATAATAAATACAGATAATGCAGCCCCTTGAATCATGTTAATAACACTTTGTTTATCTATACAATCCCCATCACCATCCATCTACGATACAAATACCAAATTGAAATAAGTAATGTGGCTAGCAAGTACGACAAATAGATATAAACAGTAAAGTCTAAATTATAAAACGTAGTAACTAGTCACCACAACCAACCATGATTTATGGCTTCATGGAAATATATCATACATAGGTAATCAAATTGGAAATAAACAATTTGTCAATTTACTCATTTTTAACAAACTAAATAATGCAAATATAATTCACAAACTCATAATTAAGAAATAGCAAAAAAACACCAAACAAAATTATAATCCTACTATTTTCGTTTCACTACCTTAAATCATACAAAATTAAAACTAAAAGAAATACTAGCTACATGGTGATGCATCGAGGGTTTAATCACATTTTTAATCATGTATAGAAATAATCAGACAACTAATTATGTGAGGATTTAGACTTGATCACCCATTTGAATTTTTAATCATGTATAGAAATAATCAGACAACTAATTATGTGAGGATTTAGACTTGATCACCCATTTGTCTCAAGTTTTACAAATTGGTGAGATTTTACAACTAATTATGTGAGGATTTAGACTTGATCACCCATTTGTCTCAAGTTTTACAAATTGGTGAGATTTTGAGGCAGTCAAAGGAATAAACCAAAATACAGATTCAATCTTTGGCCCGATTATACCAAAATTTGTCGACTTTCACCAAATCATGCTACCAGTTTTACAAGTAAATTATACCCTAAGAAATTTATGATAATTATCTGTTCAATTGAGTAATAATTCAAAAAATGTTAAAAATGGTGAAATTATACCTGTAATTGTCAAAATTTAAGGATCTGTTTGGATACCATGACGTTTTACTTGTTTTCATGGTGTTTTTGCTAAAAATAAAACAACATGCATTTGGAAACTCATGGTGTTTTTAAGCTAAATCATCCTCAAAACAAAATCACAACACTTATTTCAAAGCACCTTTTAGGTGTTTTAAGTTTAGTGTTTTGATTTTGAGTTTGATGGGGTATTAATATAATATCTAACATAATATATTAAATATAATTAATATATAGATTATACTATATTATATTATGGTTAATCTAATATATTAAAAATATTTATTAAATAATATAAAAGCATAATAATATAATAGTAACATATTTAATAATAAAACAATAATATAATAATAATATGTTGTATGGTAAATGTAGTATAATATATAAAATATTAATATAGTATAGAATAAATAATATAATACTTTATAAAGTAAAATAATTTTTAACACTAAAATAATTCATTGCTAAGAAATGTTAATGTAAAAATAATATAATCATAATATACAATATTTGTTTATATCATAAGTTAGTAATATATTATCAAAGTATTATTAATAAACTCTAACATATTAGAAAGAATAATATATTGTATAAAATTAACATATTTATAATATATTAATTTATTATTAATATAATAGTAATAAAATAATAGTAACATTATTAATAATATTATATTATATTCATAATTGTTTAATATTATATTAATAATAAAATATTATTATTTAAAAAATATTATATAATATAAAATTGGTATACCAAAATAATTAAATATGATATTATTGGTGCACATTAGTTATAACATGTTATATAATATTATATTGTATTATATTTAATATTTATAATACTATAATAATGTAAACTAAATATTATAATATTTTATTTATAAAATATTTTATTATAATTAATATATAATATAGTAATGATATATTAATAATAATGTTGTTACGTGTCAAACTAGGATTGACCAAAAACACTGAACATGGTTTTTTTATAACACTTAAGAGAAAAACACAACACTATGGTGTTTTTTTACAAAAACACAATAAGAAAAATACCATGATATCCAAATGAAGCCTAACAAATCAAGCAAAAAGCCGACGAAATCCCCTAAGAAAGACATTGATTTCCCCAAAATCAGAAGCAATAAGCACAAATCGGACAGAGATTTCCCCAAAATCCGACGAAATCCCTTTTTTATGAGATCTAGCAAAAATCTAATTAAAAATCAACAAATATCTGAGGAAACGCAGTGATTTCCCCAAAATCAGAAACCATCAGCACAAATCGGACAACATCAAGCCCCAGCTTTCGTAGATCTGACGCGCGAAGAGAGAAGAAATAGCGGGACTGGGCGGTAACCCTAGCCAACCAAGAGATTTCCCGAAAATATTGTAGATCTGACAAAAGGACACAAGAGGAGGGTTTTCGGATTTTCCGCTCATTTTTGGAAGAAAGCGCGACGAGCGATTTCGCTGAGATGGAGGTGATTTTCTTAGCTACAAACCTTAGATCCCTTTGCGAACCAAACCCGCACAAAGAAACGAAGGAAAGTGAAATGTCCGAGGTGGACACTGTGTCAGGAGAGGGGAATGTGTTTCGAGCCCTTTTTTTCGAACCAAACACCCCCTACACTTGAAACTATGGTATATTCTCTTCAATTTCGGACATAAAATGTTTGTTTTACAAATATCCTCTTATATATATATAAAAATATTTTTTCTTATAAATAAAATATTTCAATTTTATAAATCACACTCAACTTTTAGTGCCTAAGCTGGAAAATTTGCATTGCTCCGCCCCTGTTACTATAGAGAGTAGAATTAAGGGGGTTGGATCTGGACTTATCCACTCTATATTATATTCAGTCATAGAAGTATGTCCAAATAAAATTGATCCACAGGATGGTGTGACAATGAAAAGGCTTTACGGGAAGATAAATAAGCCTCTGTCTTATTCTCGTATTTAATTCTGAATGATTAATTATGTAGAAATTTACCGAGCTTAAACAATTTAACTGCCTCTTATGCTAATTGGGAAGTATGTAGTCGGAGGTGTGTTTCTTCTCTACAGTTAGCTGTTGGTAATGGTTATGTTTGGAGTATGTATTTCTTCTTTTAAGGTGGCTATGAGGTTGATTACTCGAACTGATATGGATATCTCTGTTTATTGTTTATACTAGTAAAGTGCACGTGCGTTGCACGTGGGTATACTTGTTCAGTATTAAAAAATTTAAATGTGAACCATAAAATGATGAAGTGAATCGATGATTTAGATATATTCATGTAATTAAGCTGGTTAAGTGAATCGATGATTTAGATATATTCATGTAATTAAGCTGGTTTAGATTTTACCAATATTCATTAAACCCACATAAAGAACGTAATAAATATTCATGTAATTAAGCTGGTTTAGATTTTACCAATATTCATTAAACCCACATAAAGAACGTAATAAGAGATTTATGTGCTAGAATTCTTAGATAATTAGATTAGCTAATAACTAGAAGACCTTAACTTATAGGGTAAGGAGACAAAAAAAGAACCAATTCATATCATGTTTCAAATTTAATTACCTTATCAAAGTCTATATTAATTATCATCATTTAAAGATGAAACAAAATATACATACATAGAGGGTCAAATTTACTAAATAGCAGATACCCGATGTGGATTAATAGAGTGAAAAAATTATAACCATATCTATGAACAAACTTATTATGTAAACACAATAGCAATATTAAAAGATGATCTAATATTAGAGATGGGAGATGCATCTTTGCTCAATTTACACTAAGGTTCAAGCTATTTAAGGAAATGCTAATTAATAAGAGCTTTCGCAAATAAATTTCTTAAACTTAAAACTAAAATTGACATGTTTGAATGATGGAGATATATCATGCGAAAGGACTTGTCACTTGTTAAAGTTTCGTGATAATTGCAAGAGAGACTGATTATGTCATTCATATGCATTTTATCAATCTCTAGTTCACAAGTTAGCATTAAATCATTGCGATAGCATTTCCATAGAAATCTCTTCCATCTTTAGTGTCATCCCAAGCACTTCGTTTCTTAGAAATAGAAGTCAAATGGTTGGAAGGAGAGGAAGAGAGAAATAAATGAAAAAAATTGTAACATACAAAATGAGTAATTAATTAGAAGGTAAAAAAGCCAAAGCTTTAGAAGATATCACTTTAGTAATTAGGGCTTATTTATAATAAAAATATAACATTTATTTTGGATGCATGTAAATATGCTGGTTGTAGTATTTATTTAATGTTTTTTTCTGAAATCATGGTAAGAAAGTTTATTTTGTACTTTTAAAAGTTTATTTTGTACTTTTCATTGTAACATCAAAATGATAATACAATTTGCCTAATGCATTCCTAATCGTGCCCCTATTTCATGATATTAACATCTAGATTTTTTTTGATACAATGTGTTTTCAAATTATACCGTGAAATACGTTTAGGGGGTTGAATTTTAAAAATATTTAATCTAATGAGATTTTAAAATACATTTGTTCATTTTAGTCTTTTTATAATACATTTTAAAATTTGAGTGATCCCAAATTTATTGTACCAATTTAAATTGTACCAAATTGTCTTATTTCTACAATAATCAAGTTTCAAAACATACGTTTAGGGAATTGAATTTTAAAAATATTTAATCTAATGAGATTTTAAAATACATTTGTTTATTTTAGTCTTTTATAATACATTTTAAAATTTGAGTGATCCCAAATTGATTGTACCAATTTAAATTGTACCAAATTGTCTCATTTCTACAATAATCAAGTTTCAAAACATATTTTTAAAATTCTAATTGAATTATAGAGGAACATATCATGCTAACACGTGCTTGAGCAAATTTGATCCTCGAAAGAAGTCGACATCATGTGCTTTGTTAAATTTTCTATTCTAATCCAAGTGGAGTTCTAGTTGACCTTTTCTTTTGTAATTGTATGGTTTGACTTAGTAGGTATTATGGTGAGTGGAAGAAAATGTATGAGCTAATTTACACTCAAGAGATGAAAGAGAAGTTATATAAAAATAAAAAGGGTTGTTTGTAGTTAATTGGTTCATAGTTTATGCATTGATTCAAATTGAATTTTAAAAGTCTAGACTCTACATCTTGTTATTATAATTATTTGATTAACTTTGTCTTATACTATTTTGTGACTGATTGAGAAGAAATTCATAGTCTTGAGTTGAAATTTTTGACTAATTATCAGTCGGTGCTCAAAAGACCCAAAGCAATAAAGAATAAAGTGCATCATTCTCTAATTTTACATTATATAGTTTCTACAAAACCCTGGTCCTCCCATGGTTTAAACTTTGATGTCCCTCCAATACAGTTGTTTCAACTTCTTAGAGAGAAGAGTTGCAAGCCCCTCGACATGCAACTAAGATAGACCAAAAAGTGAACATTGACATTCTAAAATTCTAAATATAGACATAACCATTTGTATGTAGTATTAGATTATAAACTATTGATAATGATTTTATTCTTGACCAAATATTCTTAGGGAGAGTAGGAGGTGCATTTAATAAAGAGTTATGGATAATTATTTAAAGATTAATTATAATCAATGGTATAATTGTGAATTATCAAAATTTAAAAGGGTAAAATAGAAAATTAAAAGTTTTGACATGGGTATTCTCTTTTATAAGTAGTATAGATTATCATGCACGTCGATACAGGAATGAGAAAAAAAATGAAATTAACATTCAAAAAAATGGCAAATATGGAAAATAATTAAAGCTAACTGTGCTTAGTACCTATCACATTTTCTTGGATATGAACTTAAGATAAATGTTGTTAATGTGTAGAGTGTGTGTCTATATATATCTACATACATACATACATAGTTTGTTAAGTTGAAAAATTATATAAACATCAGGGCCTAAGAGCAGCTCCAACCGGGCTGCATTTCTCCAAAATGCAGCCCGGTTGAGCTCCAACCGGACTCCATTTTTTGGAGTCCGGCTGCAAAAACTTGAACCCGGCTGCATATTTGGAGTTTTTGCTCCAAATATGCAGCCCCCCTCCAATTTACTATTCCCCCTACAAAATAACAATAATACCCTTCTAACTAACTATTTATTTTTAGATATTCAACTTAAAATCAACATAAGTTTATTTCTATTAATTATTTTTAAATAAAAGTTTTACAGTTAGAAATGTTTTGTCGATACCTTCAAAATGAGACTAATATTGAATAATATTAATTGAAATATAAAATATCAAGAACCAAGTAATTAAAAATAAAAAATTCATTATTTCATTAGTAAAAAAAGTTACATCGCTTCATTTCCATGTCTTTCCCACAAATGTTCAATCAATGCATTTCGAAGTGCAAAATGAGCTTCTTTGTTTTTCAACCTCTTATGTCGAGCAAGAAACCGTTAGAATCGTTCAGTTTCCGTTATCTCCATATTTTCAGCATTTGGAATTGTTTGTGGAGTTGAAATGACAATATCTTCTTGCTCGTCGCGTTCATCTTCGACAATCATATTGTGCATTATAATACAAGCAGTCATGATATCATGCAGAGTTCGTTTATCCCAAAAACGGGCTGGCCCCTTGATGATAGCAAATCGTGATTGGAGAACACCGAATGCCCGCTCAACATCTTTTCGACATGCTTCTTACATCATTGCAAAATATTGTTTCTTTTTGTCATCGGAATTAGAAATGGTTTGAACAAGTGTTGGCCATTTCGGATATATGCCATCAGCCAAATAATAACCGACATCATAGTTTTTTCCTTGAATTGTGTAATGAGCAGGAGGAGCAATACCTTGTGATAGATTGTCGAACAAATTAGACGACTGTAATACATTAATATTGTTATTGGATCCTAGTAAGCCAAAGTATGCATGCCATATCCATAGATCATATGATGCTACTGCCTCAAGAATAATGGTTGGACCTCCATGACGACCTGAGTATTGTCATGCTCATGCTGTTGGACAATTTTTCCATTGCTAATGCATACAGTCTAGACTTCCTAACATTCCTAGAAAACCTCTTTCTTTGCCCTTTTGCAATAACCTTGCAACATCGTCGACATTGGGGGTCCTCAGATATTCATCTCCATATACTTCTACAATTGCTCTGTAAAATCTCTTTAAACATACAATTGCAGTTGACTCACTGATCCTAACATATTCGTCAGTACTATCTGCTGATGTTCCATACGCCAACATGCGAAATGCCGATGTAACTTTTTGTAAAGTTGATAGCCCAAGTTTGCTGACACCATCCATCTTTTGTACGAAGAAGTTGTCATGCTCACGTACCACCTCGACTATACGAAGGAATAAACTCCTGTGCATCCGGAACCTTCTACGGAATAGGTTTGCACCATATGTAGGGTTATCAGAAAAATAGTCATGGTAAAGTCGAGAATTACCTTCTTCCCTCCCGCGATTGATCACCAAATGACCAGGAACTGAGCCAATACGCTTTGGCCGCTCTGCCTCTTGAGAGAGATAAGTCATTATTTTATTATTAGAGGCATGTACGCGAACTAATAGTTCATCTTCCTTCTCCCATTGTATCATATCTTCCTCCCAATCTTTAATGTACTGAGAAAATATTTCGTCGTCAGAAGAAGAAGAAGAAGAAGAAGGTAGATGTGACGGTCCGGCTCCATAGTTCATTAATGATGAAGAAGTTTTTTAAAGAAATAATCATATAAGTTGTGAGTTATTTAGAGATGGATGTAATGTCATTATATAATATGACTCCCCGCATTGGATTCTTTTCAGCATTGGCTTCTCACCCCCCCATATTGGATTCCTTGTGTTGGAGACTCCCCACATTTCTTTTCAGCATTGGTTTCTCACCCCCCACATTGGATTCCTTTTGTGTTGGAGACTCCCCGCATTGGATTCTTTTCAGCATTGGCTTCTCACCCCCCCATATTGGATTCCTTTCGTGTTGGAGACTCCCCACATTGGATTCTTTTCAGCATTGGCTTCTCACCCCCACATTGGATTCCTTTTGTGTTGGAGACTCCCCACATTGGATTCTCCTGGTGTTGGAGATTCCCCGCATTGGATTCCTTTCTTGTTGGAGACTCCCTACATTGGATTCTTGGTGTTGGATCACCCCCACATTGGATTCCTTTCGTGTTGGAGACTCCCCACATTGGATTCTTTTCAGCATTGGCTTCTCACACCCGCATTGGATTCCTTTTGTGTTGGAGACTCCCCACATTTGATTCTCCTGGTGTTGGAGACTCCCTACATCTGATCCCTATATAATACTTGCACAGTTTTTATATCTCCACCACAACTCTTCTTATTCTATATTCATAACTCTTTACATTCCTCCTTAGATTATGGCATCTAGTCGTGGAAAATCTTTTTTACAAGAAGTAGACCAAATTTTATGTGCCACGTGGCTCGAAATTTCTCAAGATCCAGTCATGGGTTCTAATCAAAAGAAGGACAAGCTATGGGAACGAATTTCTGTTTTATTTCATGAAAGGATTTCCAATATTTGTAATGCTCAAAGGACTCTGAAGTCTCTCTCATGCCGAATGCATTTAATTATGAAGGCCATCAGTAAATTCCGAGGATGTATTCGACAAGTCGAGCGCTTAAATCCAAGCGATGCTTCTGAGCTTGACATTGTAAGTATTTTGAATAACATAAATCTTGATTATCATCTACTATCATGTTATTAATAAATGTTTCTTCCTCTCTTATGGTAGATTAAACGTGCTAGGATAATATTTGCAGAAGATCCAGAAGAGAGAAAGGGGTTTCTATTTGATCATGTTTGGTCAATTTTAAAAGATGCAGATAAATGGGCAAATATAAGTGTCAGATCGCCTGCAACTTCCAAAACTTCAAAGTCCTGCTCATCTCAGGTATCAGATTCAAGTTCTCCTGTCGTCAACTTAAATGATGATAATGAGGAATATACTCATAATGACGAAGATATGATAACAAGTCGACCGACAGGAAGGAAGAAAGAGAAGATGAGGAGGCGACAGGCAGCTGAAAAGAACTTCGACTTGGAAACTCTCAATAAAAGCAATCAAGAAATTGTCGATATTTTAAAAAAAAGTCATGGACAACGAGAAAATGATAGAATAACAATGCACCAGATTATGATGTTAAGGGCCGAAAACAAAAAGAAAAAATTAGATATCCAAAGGGAACGCAAGGAAAGTAAGATTATGTTGATTAATCTTGATTCTATTACTAATCCTTTGGAACGCGAGTATTTTCGAATTAAAAACAAGAGATTTTAAATAGAAACATAACCGGAGGTTCTTCATCTGATATTCCTAATCCTGAATATAGTTATGCAGGAAGTCAATACGGAATACCTAACTACAGAATCAGTGGATTTGGAGGAAATGGCCTGCCCGGTTTTTAGTTTTTTTTCATGTACTTTATTTTTCTATGTAATGCCGCTGAATGTAATATATAAAATTTTATCATTCGGAGTAGCTGTGAAGGTTGTTCCAAATATTATGCTATGTTTTCTGCTTTTTAAATTTTAAAGGCTCTTATCTATGTCTTATTATCAATTTATTAAAGATAATTAATTTTATTTAAATAATGAGTATATTATATATTATACTTTTAGTATTAATTTATAATATATTTTATATTTTAAATTAATTCATATAATTTTTTAACATTTTATATTTTTTATATTTTCAAATCTATTTAAAGTATTATAAAAGAAATCAATTAAAATACAAATAGAGCTTCATATAGAGGGGGGTGGTTGGAGTGCCCCCCTCTAAAAAAGCATATTCTCATGCATATACTTTGGGGAGGCTGCATTTTGCAGCCTCCCCATTGGAGTTGCTCTAAAAACTAGTGTACAAATAAAATTGATCCACAAGATGGCGTGACAATGTACTATACATAGATAAGGCTCTACTAGATGATAAATAAGCCTCTATCTTTTAGACGCTAAACCTATTTCAGATGAATATTTTGCTTTCCCTAAAGTTCAACAAGATGCTAAATATTTTCGAGGAGAAAAATGTTTGAGGGGCATCTTTTTTATCCTCTCAAAATCAAGTCTTGTTAGTAAATCACATTAAAAAATATCAAGTTTTATTCAGAGAAAGAACATAGTTTCAAACTCAAAAATCCCAACAATAGTAAAATATAATGAGAAAAAAATCCAAATGAATAGTTACTCTAGAGATACATAATTAATCCAAAAGATTTATTTAGAGCGGTAATTAATGTAAAACAAAGAGTTTTATAAAATAAAGAAAAAATATATTTGATTTTAGTTTAATGACGGAAAGATCAAACGCGGAATGAAAAGAAAGGAAAAGAACACTATTTAATTAAGAGCTTGCATTATATATGATTCCATATTCATCAAAAACAAATTCACATGTGATGTTATGATATAAATCTATTCATTTTCTCAATTCACATGATGTTTATCAAATTCTTTCGGATGTATTTATGGCCAAAAATACAAAGTAACTTATTTCAAAATATTTGTAATCCTATTTCATAATTTTCTTGGTTTCTTTATGATATTAGTCCCTTACATCATATTTTGAATTAGTCTCGCAAACCATTGAGATTAGGGCCCCCAAATCTCACATATCATTGTTGTTGCTCCTAATTTAAGGGGTTAATTTGAAATAACGTGTAAGAATTGAGAACCAAACCACAATCTACTTCTTATTAACTAAAAGAGAACACTCAAAAAGTTCTTATGAACAGTAAATCTGATCTGGACCAATCAGACAGAGCCACATCATCACCTCAAAAAATTATGTCATCACGTCCTTGATAAGAAGTCCTTCCAACACGCTACGTGTCTAACTAACCACGCCTCCTCACATCCTCCACGTTCATTCGCTGCGTCATATAATAACTCCCGCAAACCTCCACTCCATCCCTTCCCTTATATCTCTCTCTCATCACCAATAACCTCTGCCATCACCAATAACCTCTGCAAAAAAGGGAAAATTTAAGAAAGCGATGTAGGCTCATCACCAACAACACCCACGCGGTAAGCAGATCAAAAGTCCAACATCAGTCGTTTTTTCTCAGAATAATTGAAGGTCTCTTCATCCAATGTCGAAATACATGCAACTACTAAACAAGTCGAAATAATGGGAGGAGCAGAGAAGCGAGCAACTAAAATCAATGGCGAGCCCTGAATCCTTCATCCAAGGTCTCTTCATCGTCATCAGCGTCTTCTCCATCTTCTTCCCCGAATTTCTCCCCAACCGCTTCATCTCCCTGTACCGCCGCCACCGCCAGCAAAACTCAACCACCATCCAAGGCCGTCGCCACTTCATCGCCGGAGCCCAAACCCTAGCCCAAGCCCGGTCCCAATCCCCTCCCTCCCAAACCCTAATCAAATCCTCCATCTCCTCCGCCGACCTCACTATTGCCCTCGAACCCCGTGATGCCGCTCCCCACATCTTCAAATCCCTAGCTCTAGATATTGAGGGTCACAAGATTCCTGCTCTCAAATCCCTCGATGTTGCCCTTTCTTCTCCTCAATCGAAAACCCTAGGGCCTAAGGAGAAGGCTGATGCTTTGATTAAGAGAGCGGAGTTGAGTTTGGGGGTAGGGAAGAGGAGGAGGAGATTTGATTAGGCGATTGAGGATTTGACGGAGGCGATGAAGATTGAGGAGAGGAGTGGGAAGGGATTGGGATTCTTGGAGAGTGTTATGAGTGGAAGGGGATGATATAGGAGGCCAGGAGAGCGTATGAGGAAGCGATGAAGAGACGTTGATGGGGTTGAAGGGGTTGAGGGAAGCAGCAAAGGTGAGATATTGATGAAGGTATTTGATAATTTTATGATGTATTATTCTTATTATTATCAGTAGTTTCTATTGTAATGTGAGTTTTAGTTTAGTATGAGGTATGAAATGAATTTTTCATTAACATTGCCATCGCACACTTTGAATTCTTTCATATGCAGTGCACGCTTTAATAGCTAGAATATGTGGAACCAAAGTTTTGTTTGTGGAAATATTCAATGTCCATTTTCTTGAAGGCAATAGATCACGAACATTTTAACTAGGGGATAGTACTCAAGTCCATGCTAAATTCCTAGCTAGCAAAAAAAGTTTGACCAATAGAGAGAATATTAAGGACTTCGATGTAGGTGGTGATAGTTAAATTATGTTTAGGTTCATCCAGTTTAAGCTCTTGCGATCACTAACCAAGCTTCCACATTTTTGTAGACCCCGAAAGAGTCTAAACAAAAAGAGGTAGATTGAATTATTTTTTCTGTAGGAATTTGCATTCGTCTCTAGGTTAGAAAATAAGCTTCCAACTAAAATCACATTTTCAGACCTTCTTTGAGTATAAGATAAAAAATCCTCATTATTTATATTACATAACTTTCAAGTTTATGTATCCTCAATATTGTAAATTCGTAATATTTATATTATATAACTTTCAAGTTTATGTAATATTAACATAGATTAGTTTTTAATTTTGTTCTTTTTAATTTATTTCAACCGAAAGTTATACAAGTTGTGTTGCTCTTATCACGCAAAATTTTAGTGTATACTGAGTTTTATTTGTTATGCTCATTTATTATGTTTAACAATGTTCAGATGTATTATTTATTTTGTTTAACATGTTACCAAGATCATTTATTATGTTTAACAATGTTAGTGTATACCGAATCAAACAT